ATCGTGTTAGATTACATGTGGAAGCATCTGTTGTTTCGGTTTCTTCTTCACTTGTGTTTTTTGGAAATTCTGTACAGAAGATGTGTACTAGCGCCCCCTACAGTATAACAATGAAAACACAGATTCTAGGAGCACAATTATAGCTAAAATATATATTTAGACTTTTTCTTAAGTCAAGTATACTTAACATTTTAAGTATATTTCTGAGAAGTGCATAAAGCCCATTTCTGAGAAGTACAGAAAAAGTAGACAAAAGTATACTTTCCTATTTTTTAGTTTAAAAGAAGTATACTAATAGCACACTTGAATAAACTTCTTTTTCGTAAGGGTATCTTGTGATAAAAAACATCCATTTGGTCTCCTTCAGTCTATTCAATGGGAGTATTGTGAAAATAATGTAGCCTATTATGTTAAGAAAAAACCCCCTCTACATTTCATGTAAGGTATAGCACCTGGGTATTATCTGTTCAATTAATTAGGGATATTATAATAAAATATTGGCTATTAGTTGAATGCGCAAAACATGCAACTTTTTCCAAACAGATGGATATACTTGTCAGTGTCTGTATTTGTATATCACGCTTTCTGTTTATTTATTGTTTATGTTCCATCATGTATTTTAAAGGAACGCATTGTGCTGAATAAGAGTCATAATAAAAGTAAACCGAAAGCACTTCTCACACACTGAAGAACTCTGAGTGTGAACTCTGCTGAGTCTGGGACTTCACGGAAAACCAAACCAAAACAGAAAGGGTAGGTTATATTGTTTATTTATTAAATAACAGGACATGTGTTTAATCTATGCATCTTTATTTTCGGTGTTATTCGTGTTTAGCTGTGTAGCTAACTCGCAAGCTAATGTTTACACATACACTGCTGCTGCTTTCTGCTAGCGTGACTACACATTCTGACACTTTAAACGGATAAGATAGGGTTATGTTTGTGCATTTTGCTTTAATAAAATAGATATTTTGATATTATAAAATGAAAAAGTTTACGTTTAGTAGCTATTGTGAAAGGTGGCTAAAAATCGCGATGAATCGTCTAATAAATGCATTGTTTTGTTTCGAAAGTAAATTAACTAGTACAGAATACAACAACAAAGAAGGAATCACAATAATAAGTTTATATTTTCTTCTTAAATACGGCAGTTACTACAGTAAAACTGCTGACTGTCGTTAAACATTAACCATGGGTTATTGGACTTCGTGTGTGTCATTAATACGATGACTTACTTGTCTTGGTACGATGCTTTATTGCTTCAGTACGGCATTGTACATGAATATGACAGAACCATGGTGTGTATATATATATATATATATATATATATATATATCAGAATTCACATGCTATTTGGGATCTGAACCCATCACTGTACCACGATGCAGATCCCATAAGCAAGACCCTTACCAAAAAGTAGTATACTTCAAGTTTATTTTAGTAAGTATACTTAAGTAAAGTTCAAGTATACTTTATGTAGTAAGTATACAAATGTCAGTGTACTAGTAGTATACTTGT